AGGGTGGGATCCTGGGACCCCAAGAGTGGGATCCTGGAACTCCCAAAAGTGAGATCCTGGAACTCCCAAGGGTGGGATCCTGGAACTCCCAAAAGTGGGATCCTGGCACCCCAAGGGTGGGCTCCTGGGTCCTCAAAAGTGGGATCCTGGCACCCCCAGGCTGTTCCCGGGGCAGATCCCCGTGGGGGAGGGCACGGGGACCCCCCAGGGCACAAACACGGCGTCGCTCCGGGCACAAGGACCAGGATTTATTCCCAATCCCGCTCCCGGGGACCCCTCTTCCCGGATCCCTGGGGGAGGCCCCCGCGACGCTGCTCCCCGGGGCCGCTCCCGGCGCAGATCCCAGAGGATTCCCGGCGGGATTCCCGGCCCCTCCGGGCCTAGATGGACTCGATCTGCTTGCGGACCTTCTCCCGGGCCCGGCGGTCGAGCTCCCGCTGCCGGAGCACCACGAGCGCCGCCGCCGCCGCCGCCACGGCCAGAGCCGAGCCCACGAAGCGCCAGAACCGCCGCGACTCCAGCGCGGCCGAGCGGCAGCTGCGGGCAGAGAGCGGGAATTCCGCCATGGATCCCGCCGGAATTCCGGCCCCGAGCCCACGGGGAATTCCGGGATGGATCCCGCCGGAATCCTGGCCCTGATCCCCGGGGAATTCTGAGATGGATCCCGGGGGACTTCTGGAATGGATTCCACTGGAATTCCGGCCCTGATCCCATGGGAATTCTGGCCTGGATCTCACTGGAATTTGGGCCCTGATGCCATGGGAATTCCAGGCTGGATCCCATGGGAATTCCGGGACGGATCTCATTGGAATTCGGGCCCTGATCCCGTGGGAATTCCAGGCTGGATCTCATGGGAATTCTGCGATGGATCCCATGGAAATTCCAGCCCTGATCCCATGGGAATTCCGGGATGGATCCCACGGAAATTCCGGCCCTGGTCCCATGGGAATTCCAGGTTGGATCCTGTGGGAATTCTGGCCTGGATCCCACTGGAATTCCAGTCCTGATCCCAGGGGAATTCTGGGATGGATCCCGTGGGAATTTCAGCTGTGATCCTGTGGGAGTCCCGGGATGGATCTGAGGGGAATTCCGGGCTGGATCCTGTGGGAATTCTGGATCCTGTGGGAATTGCAGCCCTGATCC